GGACCAAAACTAGAATTGCACAAAAAATGCTAGAAGAATATGAATCTAAAATTCTATCCTTTCATAAATTTGTTATTGATGCTAGGAAGAAAAATGGCTTTGAAATTGGCCAGATTGGGAATATGGATGAAGTCCCGCTAACCTTTGATGTGCCATCTAATAGGACTGTAGATCTGAAGGGTGCCAAAACCATCAGTGTGAAAACTTCAGGGCATGAGAAGACCCATTACACAACTGTGTTATCCTGCTGTGCCGATGGCACCAAATTGCCACCCATGTTGATTTTCAAAAGGAAAACATTTCCAAAAGAAGTGATTCCGCAAGGAGTTGTTGTACATATACATGAGAAAGGATGGATGGATGAAAATGGAATGAGAATATGGGTTGAAAAAGTGTGGTCCAAACGTCCTGGAAGACTTCTGAAAAAACCTGCCTTACTAGTGCTTGACCATTTTAGAGCACATATTAGCGAACCAATAAAAAGTGTTTCAAAGAAGTGAAGACTCATCTAGCTGTAATTCCCGGAGGTCTTACCAGCCAGTTGCAACCTCTTGATGTTTCCATCAACAAGCCATTTAAGGTCTTAATGAGAGAAGAGTGGAATAAATGGATGACTGCTGGTAATCATGATCTGACACCTACTGGACGAATGAAGAGGCCCACCATCACTCAAGTTTGTGAATGGGTGAAAACATCATGGGACTCAGTGAAGGAGGAGATCGTTGTACAGTCATTCAAAAAATGTGGCATTAGCAACGCCTTAGATGGAAGTGAGGACGATATCTTATATGAAGACTCATAAGGCAAGACCAATTATATGTGATGTTAGGCACATGCTGAAAACAGCCTACCGTTTTTATTTTAGTAGAACTGCTTGACTGAAGCCTCACAACAACTTTTTCACTACAATAAAGCAGCCGAGTGTGTTGTTTCACCTGCATACATTATGAAAAATGCTGGATTGTGTGTAAAGAAAAACACACTTCTCCTTTGAATTGCACAGGTTCAAGCACATGGTTTTGGTTAAATGCAGATTTTTGAGGGAGGCCTTTTATTGGCTCTCCTGCTTGGGGGCGGTAGCAAGGAGGCAGTGGCCTGGGCAGTTGCAGCCAGGGCTGGAGCCACCTCCTTCAGTTTGCTAACTTCCTGCATGGTTCTTCATTTTTAACCCTAGCTTAGTTCAGCTTGGCTCCCATTGCAAAAGAGGAAACTGCTAGGAGGGGACAAGGCAGATTTCCAGCTACAAGGAGGAGGTGGAAGAGGGAGATTTGGACACCAGCAGCAGAGAAGTTAACAAATAATTGATGCAGCCTGCACCGCTACCAGCTGGTCTGCTTGCCAACTCTTCACCCTTCATCCCACAGCTGCTGACCAAGAGAGGCAGACAGTGGCTTCTGGCTTTTCCTATGCTGCCCCCCCGAACCCAAACAGTCTGTTAGTCAGAGCCCAGCCTTCCTGCTGCTGTGGCAGTGGTGAGGACACAGCCTGCCTTTACAAATGGTCAGCCCTGTTCTAGATCTGGTGGCAGTCTCTGTAAGACAGCTCCCAGCCTGATCCAGGTTTTGCCAAAAACTGGAGGATGGATAAAAATCAATAATGCTATTAAAATCAAATTGATCTAAATCATGATTTAAATATTTTTCTTATCACAATTTAAATCATGATTTAAATAAAAAAATCTTTTTTGATTTAAACTGTAAAAGATACATTTTTTATTTAAAACATAATTTTAATCCATCATGCAAAGCTGGTATGCTTTGGTACTACATTTTGGAGAACGTAAGAGTTATACATGGATTTTGTACTACTTAAGGGTTTGGCACCCCAACTCCAGAACTGTTGAAGGCATGACTGTACTTCTTTATGTAGTTCCAACTACAGCGCACCCTCGACTTACACATGGACCACCGATTGTGCCTCCGGATGCCTTCCAGGGCTTCTCCGCCGCCATGGGAGGCATTTTGGAGGTCCCCCACCCCCGCAGGCTTTCCCAGGGTGGACAGTCTTATAACAGTTGCCCACCCGGTAGATAGAGGGCTAGAATGGGCAGAAGCCAGGCTCGGACTCAGAGAATGGCTTGGTATCAATACCGAAGCCTGAGCCATTTGATGTTGCACAGAAGCGTTGCCCTCCAAAATAGATTCGGTGTCAGGCACGTCCCAAGAGGACTCCTCCAAATTAGGAGACGGCACCAATGCAGACACCGGAGGCAGGTCACGGAGTCGATGCTTTGGGGAAGGTTTGTCATGCTTTTCTTTCTTGTGCTTAACGGAAGTCTTCTTTTTCTTTAGACTCTCCATGGATGTATGCCTCAGCACTGATGTTGAAACTGAAGTCATTTCTTTTACACCAACCCCAAAGGTCTTTTAAATGACTTCATCTGGGACTTCGGCGACGGAGTGGTCGGTAAGGATGATGCTGGAGGCTCAGGACGAGGGCTAGATGGTTGGGCAGGAGTCGACTCCATGGGCGGTTTGGAGGAAGAAAGGGACCTCTCTCAGAAATATGCCCTAAGCCTCTGCTCACACAACTTTAAGGCAGGCTTGGAGAGCTTCTTACACTGTGGGCAGGTTTGGGGTTGATGTTCTTCTCTTGAACAGAACAGGCAGCAGTCGTGGCCGTCAGTAAATGCTATCTTGCTAGCACACAAAGAACACCGCTTGAATGGGCCTGAGGAGGCCATAAACTAATCAAACTTCAGAGAATACGATTGAGGTGAAAAGACTCACAGATCAATAAAAAGAATAAAGTTTGAAAACGGTAACAGGAGGAAATTGCTGACCGTAAAGAGTAGTTAAGTCCAAAATCGCTAATTGAAAGAGGAAACCAAAAAAAGGTTCGAAGTCAAGCATATGATCGCTATGAATGAGGCAATTAGTCCACAACGCAAAGGCAGGAAACTCTAAAATGGTCTGAGATCAAAGCCGGGAAACAACATGCAATCAAATCCGGAAGGCAAAATCATAGTCAATGGGCATCCGTAATCAAAATCATGGAGAAAATCAAGCAGAATTAGCGATCTAACCAGAAAAGGCGAAAAGTTTGAAAAGCTCTAGCATGAGAAGTTCCAGTTGCAGCTGCAGCAAGATGGAATTGAGGTACACGGGTGGGCGGAACATGCATAGTAGGAGACAACATGTTGTTAATGTTTCTTATTTTAAGCTCTAGAATATTCAGAGGAGTCCAGTTGTGTGGGTTCACAGAGGCCACATAGAAGAACCCATGGTCATTTTCCCTCAGCAAGCTTGTTCTTCTATGAACAAGCCTTGCTGAGGGATCTACATCAAGTGGAACACTCATAGCAGTGTTCCTTAAAATGTTTAAAAAAAACACACACAATACTTTGGAAAAGCATTGAGCTCTTCAGTTTCATTGGGAAATCTGAATTTGTTATCTCTGAACACTGGTATACAGGGAGAGTGCACCTACTGCACTCTTTAATAACCTGTCCAAATTGCCCTATTAATTTTTCTACCTGTCAGCAGAACAAAATGAACAATATACCATATACAGTAAGGGAATTCCATACAGTATCACTTTCTCTTTTATATCTATGTAAAGGGACTCAAGGCAACAATGGGTAAAAATGATGAATTAGTTTTGAAAAAGTCTGTGCAGTAAATGTGCTGAAGTAAAATAAATTGTGCAAAGTGGTGCTTATATACTGCCCCATAGTGATTAGAACAGAGGTCCCCAATCCCTGGTCTGTGCCTAGTGCTGGTCTGAGGCCTGAGCCAGACTGGGCTGCAAGGACAGACCTCCCACCCCACCCCCCGCACGCACTTGGCTTACAGCATTCTCTGGGTGATTTATAATTTAATTTACACAAGATAAATGTTTATATTTTATACAATTACATCACAACCATCCCAGTCTCTCTCTCTCCATAATATACATAGAGGTGGATGGTAAAAATAAGCAACTGGGCTTTACTCTCCCCCACCCCCACTGTATCTCTTGAAAATAAGCTCTTGAGGGTTGCAAGACTCACTATAGTTGTATCGAATAAACACTGTGGTTTGTAGCCCAAAGAAGAAATTCTGTCATTTGAGTGACGTAAGTGTCAACTGCTTTCAGCTCATGGATGGCATATCTGGGTTAAACTCAGGATCTGTAAGTTATGGGATTATCATTTTATATATACAGTGGTGCCTCGCTTAGCGAGTGCACCGTATAGCGATGTTTCCGCATAGCGATCCCTTTTTCGGGATCGCTATACGGAAACATACCCGATCTTCGCAATGGGGAAAACCCGCATTGCGAAGATCGGGTATTGCGGCGGCCATTTTGGAGCCGCCGAACAGCTGATCGGCGGTTCCAAAATGACCACCGGAAGCCCGGAAATGGCTGCCGGCAGCCGTTTTCGCGCCCTGCCCTCGCTTAGCGAAGGCGCGTTTTCCCTACCCGTTTAGCGACAATTCCGCATAGCGAGGGTTAATCCGGAACGGATTAACCTCGCTATGCAGGGCACCACTGTATATATATATATAGTAGGCATATAGTAGTTTTATATATATAAGGCACTTATGAACCTTCTGTCATCAAGAATACACACACACAGAGAGAGTGGTGCCCCACTTAACGCTTACCCTGCTTGACGATGAATCTGCTTGACGATGAAGTTTTTGTGATCGCTTTTGTGATGTTTGAATTGGGTTTTTTCACTTTGCAATGATCGGTTCCCTGCTTCGGGAACCGATTCTTCGCATTACGACGGTCAAAAACAGCTGATCGTCGGGTTTCAAAATGGCCGCCAGTTGTACAAAATGGCTCCCCACTGTGTTTAGGAAGGCTTTTTCACAAGACAGGGAGCAGAAAATGGCTGCCCTATGGAGGATCTTCACTGGACTGTGAGTTATTCAGCCCATTTGAACGCACTGAATGGGTTTTCAATGCATTTCAATGGGATTTTTTATTTCGCTTCACGAGGATATCGCTTAACAGCGATTTTGCTCAAACGGATTATCCTCGTCAAGCGAGGCACCACTCTGTGTGTGTGTGTGTGTGTGTATACATACACACACAAAAATACACACACATACATACACACACATATATGTGTATATATATATGTGTGTGTATGTATTGATATGTATGTGTATACACACACACACACACACCTGAAACAAGAACGATGCAAAGGCTAGTCTCATGTTTTAAGAAACATCCCTACCTACACTGATAGTATTCAGAGACTATTTTAAAATAAGAAAGATAAGCATTCTACTATTTGATTCACTAGAACTCACATATCGTCCCCGTGAAAAGGTCCATCATTATCTAAAGTTTGCCGCAATGCTTCTTTTTCTCGTCTCTTTTTCTCCTTCTTTTCTTTTTTTGATAGAGTACGTTTGAAATTGTGGATCACTCCCTCCTTCTCCTGTTTTTCAGGGCCATTGCTTTGAGCCTTCTGAAACAAACATATTTAACAACATAATTCACTGCAACTCTATCCACCTTAACTTCCAAATCAAACAAAACTGGTTTGAAAACCAAGCATTAAAAAACAGAGGCAATTGCAATTTATACTTTTAACTGAACGACCAAAACAAATATTTTTAAATAAATAAATAATAGTCCCTGGTCATAAACAAGAATAAAGTCCACAGAATGGTTGCACTGTTACTCAAACACTACATTTTGAACATTCAGAGGACTCAAATTGTGGTTGAGACATAAGAACACATGTAGGTTTCAACATGTCAACTCACCTTGAAACCATCATTAGATCTAGCCTTTAAGGTTTGCCTTCCTGTGTACAAATACAGTTTTTAAAAAGCAATCTCAGTGTATTCAGTGCACAGAGGTTGGGAGTTTGATTCCCCACTGTGCCTCCTTGGCAGGGATCCACAGGATCTCTTCCACACGTGCAATTCTAAGTTTCTAACTGCAAACAGGAATAAGAGGTTCTTTCAGTTTTTTTAACAATACTAAATAAATTCAGCTAAAAATGGGAAAATATGATACTCTACATCTGCAGCTTAACAATTCAAAATATAAAACATACTATACAACAGATTATCCATTTTTATTACTAGTATTAATTGCACACTGGCTTGTCCTACATCAGTTCCATTACCTCTGTTTGCTTACACTTTACCTCTTAAAGGCAATTTTCCAAATAAAATTACCATACAGATCTTAAGAAGCCACCAGGTGGCATCTCACTTCTAATACTTTAAGTATATTTAGTAGCAAGCAAGTTTAACAAGAAAGAAATTGTCTATAGATGCACATTTGCACATTCACATTGTGTTATGCCATACTACAGGCACTATTTGCTCTCTACAAGTCTTCAGAATTATCCATCCAATGCGCTTCACCAAAAGCATATTATATGAAGTTCTGAGATGGAATCTCATCCTAGTAAGCACTTTTTTGAACAGAGATGTCCAGCACTCCGTCTTGCCCGGTAACCTTTGACTCCTTTCAGCCTGATACTGTGGCCAAGGTGCTTGATCGCTGTCGAGCCACCACCTCCTACTTGGACCCTTGCCCGGCCTGGTTAATCAAAGCAGCCAGGCCAATAACAACCGAATGGGCCACTGCAATAATAAATGGGTGTTTCCTTGAGGGCAGGTTTCCCTCTGCCCTCAAGGAGACACTTATTAGGCCCATAAAAAAGAAACCTAGTTTGGCGGTGGACGAAACTGGCAATTATAGGCCCGTCGCCAATGTTTCTTTCATGAGCAAAGTGATGGAGAGGGTGGTGGCCGACCAGCTTCAGGCATACTTGGATGAAACAGATGCCCTGGATCCATTGCAGTCGGGCTTCAGGCCGCGCCACGGTACAGAGACGGCACTGGTCGCCCTGTATGATGACCTGTTGAGGGAGGCCGACAGGGGGAAAATGTCTCTGTTGGTCTTCCTCGACATCTCGGTGGCCTTTGATACCGTCAACCACGGTATCCTCCTGGGAAGGCTCTCTGAGTTTGGAATTGGTGGCTCGGCTCTCGTCTGGCTCCGTTCCTTCTTGGGGGACCATCCCCAGAGAGTCCAGCTTGGGGAGTGTGTCTCGGCCCCGTGGAGTCTCATCTGTGGGGTCCCACAGGGGTCGATCATCTCCCCAATGCTGAGAGGGGTCATCCGGGGATGTGGAGCTTCGTGTCATCAATATGCCGATGACACCCAGCTCTACATCTCCTTTTCACCTGATGCAGGTGATGCCGTCCTGTCCCTTCAGCGCTGCCTGGAGACCGTACTGGGATGGATGCAGGAGAATGGGCTGAGGCTGAACCCGCACAAGACGGAAGTTCTGAGGGTGGGTGGCCCCATGGTTGGCGGCTTGGGGGACTCTCTCACGTTTGGGGGGCGACCCTGGCCACGAAGAGTGGGGTGTGCAGTTTGGGCATACATCTGGACCCGACGCTCACCATGGAAACGCAGGTGGCGTCGGTAGTCCATACCGCCTTTTTCCATCTCTGGCGGATGGTCCGGCTGCGGCCCTATCTCGACACGGGGGCACTCACTACCTTGGTGCATGCGCTCGTAATCTCAAGATTAGACCACTGTCAATTCCTAAATCCTTTTTCTAATTTCCCTTATATTACTTTCCTTATCTTCTGTGATTGTAATTATTATGTTATGTCTATGCACATTTTTGTATTTTAACTGTATTTTTAATATATACTGGAAGCCGCCTAGAGTGGTCTGGTAGTCCAGATAGGCGGGATACAAATCAAATTAACAACAACAACAACAACAACAACAACAACAACAAACAACAACCTACAGGGGGCAGACTTCAATGGCAGGTTGGAAAAGTTATTTTATTATTATAACTTTACTCATTCATCCTGGAAGATCTCCCCACAACATTTTAGCAGTCCTAACTGCCTGATGTCTGCAATAGTACTATGAGAACAAAGCACATTGCATTGTTCAATACTACAATTATAGGCTACAGAATATGAATACAGTGGAAAGGGTTATAGAAAACTATGCCATATATGTATAACGTATGTATAATATATGCCAGATTTGTTTTTACATACAAAAGCAATTACGAAGAAATCTCACACAACAGAAGTAGCCAAAAATTTATAGATCTATTTATTCATCTCTCTTACCTTTGGAGGAAGTGCATCATTTTCATTCTTGAGTACAAATCTTCCCTCTCTATCATCTTTGTTCCAATTTAACTGTACAACTAGAGGTTTCTCATCTATATCCAATCTTCTTTCTTCTTCAAAATATGAAAGGAAAAGGGATAAGATTAATGGTTGCTTACTAATTCACAACCACCAAAGTTCATTAATGAGTGCTTTAAAAACAGAGAAGTAAAGAATAGACCAATTGTGCTAAAAATTTAAATGCTGCTCTTTTGTAGCAGTGATAGATTATCACAATCTTTTTCGATTTATGGATAGTAAAGTATGAACTATTGATAAATGTGTGCCACTAGGCTAGTCCGAAAACAATAAGACTCAACAGGTTATGTCATTTACATACCACATCCTTTCCTTCATTCTTAGATGCAAATCCTACCCTATTCTCTAACCTGTATGAGAACCTACTTCTTAATTATTCAACATCTTGAATAATTAAGAAGCAAGCCCATCTGAAGTCTTCTGAAATTAAGATTACTATGTAAAAATATCCAGAAGTACTGTTATTTCAAAGAACAGTTGTCCAACGATGAAGACTGCACATTAGATATAGTGAGTTTATTACAATACTGCACTAAAATACACTGTCAATAGGATACACTCCTGTGCACAATTTAAAAAGCGTCTATCACTATTGCAAGAAGTGTTTTCCTTTGACTTAGACTTCTCAGAACTGAGATCAGGAATCTATAAGGCAGCCACTTTTCTTTTAGTTACTTTGCTAAAAAATTCGTCCACAATTAAAAAAAACTCCAGGAAATAGTTCAATATTGCCTTCCAGTATCATGCCCACATCACTAGCAAGAAAAAGGATGCCAAGCTTTTCATAGGAAAGACCAGTTTAAACATTAACACCAATGTCAATAGTCAAGATGTTCTAGAGCCCTGCTCACTATGCACAGACATCAAGCACGAAAAAAATCCAAGAACCTGATTCCTTTTTTCCCATCCATTAACCACTTCTCACCTAAACACAAAGCAATTGTCATGGCTATTTTTCAACAAGTTTTCTCAGTGTTTATTACTACACAAATTAATCAAAATGCCTTGAAGAAAAGTGGCTTTTTACTGAATGTGAGTAAATTTCAGATGTTTCCATCCCTTGCAGCCTAGTGCCATCACATTCCTAGGCAACAGTACTGCATGTGGAAGTAAGATGCAGTTATGTTCCTGTCCTATAGTTGTATTCACACTATTATTATCATGTTTCTTTAAGTCGCATGCTGTCTTGGAAATCCATACTTTTCCACAATATACAATGTGTTTTGGCTTAAAAAAAAACCTCACACAAAATTTATTTTATTTATTTATTTATTTATTTGATTTTTACCCCGCCCCTCTAGACCATGTCCAAGCAAACTTGTGAAAAAATACATATTTGAGAAACTGCACAAACCAATACACACAAAAATGTATAGAAAGATACACAGAAAATATATTGCATTTCAACTAGGCCACAATACTTTGTTTAGTTCTGCTTTTATTTACATGCTAGGAAAGTGTTGTAAAAATGCTGCATTATTCTGTGTATAAGAGGATACTTTTATCTAAAATATTTAGATACAAAATTGAGAGTCATCTTATACACAGAAGGAGGGGGGAGGGAATCAAAGCACTTTGATTCCTGCTTTCCCCCTCCACTTTCTTGCAAAGAAAGTGCTTTCCCCTTCCACTTTCTTCACAAAAAGTGGAGGGGGAAAACAGGAACCAAAGTGTTTTGATGATTCCTGCTTTTCCCCTCCACTTTCTTGCAAAGAAAGAAATTCTGGGTTAGAAAAATGGGGGGCATCTTATACATGGGAGTGTCTTATACTCAGAAAAAGATGGTACCTTTGTTTAGAAAAATATGTACAAAAATATGCAACCATTTCTGGATGGGAAGAAATAAACCAGTATAACCATATATTATAGAAGAACTTAAGGTGCTGGATCAGACCAAAGACTTATCTGATATACATTTAAAAAGCATAAAAAACATTATATTTTATGCTTTCAACTGTAATTTATTGTTTTGTCCCTGGTCTGCTTCATTTTATGATATATGATGTATGCCCCAATTGTATTATTTTAATTTTATATATGTATAATTGTATTACAGTGGTGCCCCGCATAGCGACAATAATCCGTGCAGCCAAAATCGTTGCTATACGGATTTGTCGCTATGTGAAATAAAAAAAGCCCATAGGAATGCATTAAAACCTTCCCATCATAGCCATTCGCTAAGGATATGTCTGAATAGCTCAGTGAGCTAGGTATCTGGCTGTGAAGCCAGAGTTTTGGACTTTGATTCCCCCTTGTTACTCAAAAGAACAGACAACCTATGTAGCCTTTGGCAAGCTCCACAGCCATGAAGTGCCCCCCTGAAGAAATGGTAAAATGAGTATTGTATAACTAGAGAGTCCTGGGAAGTGTTGCCATAGGTCAGAATCAGCAAGATGACACACAGTTAATATATTATTATTAGGTAAGGATAAGCTCATCTTCCATAACCTTATTCAGACACTCCTCAAAAATGCATAGAGAGTGTGCTAGCCCATCTCCTCTTTGCACATTACCATTGTCCTCCACACATAAAGGGTGTTTATTTTAAAAAAAGGCTGATCTATGTATGGTGGATCTCCATACAATCTGATTAGATGAACAGCTTCCACACACTCTCCTCTTCAAACTATCAGTCTCCATATGTAAAGATGTCTAGGCTGGGGGCACTTGCCATTACTTCCAGGATAGGATGGAAATAATAACTTTGATTCTGAACATGCAACAAAAATGAGACTGAAAATGTTCACGTGTTCAGTTGGGGGAAAAACTAAAGATTTTGCTCTTATCTCAAGCAAAGCATTGTTACAGTGTGGCTCTGCTCAAGTGAATCATGCAATTATCAACAGGTAATTGAATTCTTGCCCTTCTTTGGAAGACTAAGAAGCTACATTTTCTCTGCAGCAATTCAATGGCATGTGAGAATGCGTTCTGCAACAGAACCCCACGCGTGTGCAGGGCCCTGAACTGTGTGTGCATGCATGCAGGGAAGAAGTCAGGCGCGCAAAAGGCAGAGGCTTGCCCAGTGGGGCTGAAAATTAGAATATATGTTAGTTGCCAGAACTAATGAAAATACGAATTGCAGAAGCCAAAAACCCCTGAATACAGGTATGGCAGCTGAAGAACTATACGAATTAACCACCTGAAGATAGACCTTGGTTCCATATTAGAGCCTTGAGTTTCTTCCAATGACTCTGAGAGCAAATGCACAGATTATACTGTTCCCTTTTGTCCAACCCAGTAAATATCAGCTCCTGATGTCTCCTTCAAATGTACTGTAAGAAAGGGATAGATGTCTTGGCCTTCATTTTTTTCCACGAAAATCAATCCTTTGACCGTGATGAAGCCAGAAAGTGTAAACTGGAGGATTGAAAAAGATTCAGAAATACTAAAAACAAAACAAAAAGAAAAAAAACCAGGAAAATATTGAAGAGTATAGCTAGGCCAAGGTACAGTGGTGCCTCACTTAACGGGCACCCCGTTTAACTACGAATCCACATAGTGATGAAGATTTTGCGATCGCTTTTGCAATTGCATTTTGATGTTTTGAATGGGAAAAATCGCTTTGCAATGATTGGTAACCTGTTTCGCTTACCGATTATCGCATAGCGATGATTTTCCAACAGCTGATCGGCAGTTCCAAAATGGCTGCCGGGTAAAAAAAATGGCCACCTGCTGTGTTTTCGTGCCGATTCCTCGCTTACCGGGCAGCAAAAATGGCGGCCGTATGGAGGATTTGTGCTTAAAGGTGAGTTTTAAGCCCATAGGAACACATTAAACGGGTTTTAATGCGTTCCTATGAGCTTTTTCTTTTCGCATAGCGACGAAATCGCTTTGCAGCGATTTTTGCTGCATGGATTATCGTCGCTATGCGGGGCACCACTGTGCATGTTTTTAAGAGAAAGAATCTTCCCTAGTTTCTCCCTTAAGCCAGGCAAGAATAAAGGATGGGAGGGGCTTATACTGGTCTATCAACATACTGTATTCCTTTCATCTTAAGCTAAAAGGACCAAAGACCTTCCTAGAGATCCTCCATAAAACAGAAAAGGGGATCTAGAACAAAACAGAACACAGAACCTGATATATTCAAAAATAATAATAAAATTAAGAAGCCAATGATCAATTGTACAGAAAGCCACAGAGAAATTCAGAGTTATCAAATGTTTCGTGCTCCCCTCATTCTCCCTTTGGATGAACCCAATTTCAGTAGTGAGTCCTGAACCTAAAATGATGCACTGAGGCCTATACATGTACTTCTCGGCAATAAGTTTAAAACATCCTCAAACATTCTCCTTTACAGAAAGATAAACAAGTCATAACTGTTAGGTAAAATACTTTATTTTGCCTACATAGCATAAATTTACATAATATTTTTGTATAACAGCTGGAAAATACACAGATGCACATTTCTGAATACTCTTCTAAAAGGCCTCCTATTTCTAAATCATAATGTGATCTACATATTATTTTTAAGCTCAAATATGTTCTTCTTTTGCATTTACCATAAAGCTGATTATTTTACTTTCAACTTTTATTTTATTCTGGTTTGCAAAGCAGCAGAAGACTGTTATATAACAGGAGTGCAGCAATTTACAACCCTGTCCAGTTTATAAACTGGACATTTTTATTGGTAGATGAGTTTTTAATTTCATAAATATACTAAACAGTGGGACGTGTTGGCGCTGCAGGTTAAACCGCAGAAGCCTCTCTGCTGCAAGGTTGGAAGACCAGCAGTCATACGATCGAATCCACGCAATGGAGTGAGCTCCCATTGCTTGTCCCAGCTCTTGCCAACCTAGCAGTTAGAAAACATGTAAAAATGTGAGTACAGTGGACCCTTGACTTAAAGAAGGCTCCACTTACAGACTTTTCTATTTACAGACTTCTCTGGCAGCAAAATTTAGGTTTGACTTGCAGCCGGAGAATTGACCTACCGACCGAAAAAAAACCCAAAATGGAACAAAAACGGCCAGTTACAGATTAATCGGTTTTCAATGCATTGTAGGTCAACGGAGCTTCGACCTACAGACTTTTCGACCTGCAGCCACCGTTCCAATACGGATTAATTCTGTAAGTCAAGGGTCCATTGTAGATAAATAGGCACCACTGTGGTGGGAAGGTAAGAGCATTCTGTGTCTAGTCGTGCTGGCCACGTGACCACAGAAACTGTCTATGGACAAACGCTGGCTCTATAGCTTGGAAATGGGGATGAGCACCGCCCCCTAGAGTCGGATCCAACTGGACAATTTGTCAAGGGGAACCTGTACCTTTACCTTACTAAGCAGTGCTATTTTATATGCTAACTTCCTGTGGTACAGTGGGGTCTTGACTTGAGAACTTAATCCGTATTGGAAGGCGGTTCTCAAGTCAAAAAGTTCTCAAGTCAAATCTGCATTTCCCATAGGAATGCATTGAAAACCATTTGATCCGTATCTGCTATTTTCCGTCCATAGAAACTAATGGGAAGCTGCTACTCCGCCTTCGACCACGAGAGGGGGATATTTTGTTTCTTTTTTTCTTAGGTCAAGAAAGGTTCAGGGAAGGCCGGGAAAATACAGTCCAGGCAGTCTGAAGACTCCCAATCCACTCTCTAAACGCTGGGAGGAGTGAGGAAGCAGACAGGCACCCTTTTCACTGGCCAACAGTTAACTGAAAGTTCAAATTTTGCACTTTCCCTGCCTCCCACGTGGTTTTTTTTTCAGTTCTTAACTCAAATCTAAGTACTTAAGTCAAGTCAATATTTTCCTATGAGAGCGGTTCTTAAATCAAAATGTTCTTAACTCAAGCCGTTCTTAAGTCAAGACCCCACTGTATAAATAACGTATCCATATACTGTAACTGAAGTATTTAACAACAGGCTTTATAAGAATTTACACATACATCTATGATTCCCAGAACTCACTGCTCCTCCCAGCAAGACTACAAAAAACCATTTTCTCTAGAGCTTGAAAAAGAAACCTGCCATCTTGACAAGCAAACATCACTCTTTCCTTTCCTATTTTCCCCTGAAATTGAAAAAGAAAACTTGTATAAAATCTCATGACTCCCCCAAACTCTTTCACCATGAGCTTCAAATCCACCCTTGCCTATGATGTATCTTTTTTCATATAAAAACTATCCTCAGAAGTAGGATTCTAATATATAGTTACTATCCCACATGTATCAGTGCCATCTGCTGATAACTCAACAAATCAAAGCTATTTAAATTGGACAGATATTTAACTATTTAGACAGTATCACAGTACCCCCCCATCTCACAGTACCCCCCACAACAAAATGAATATACATAGGAATATACATTCCAAATGAAAAATACAGTTATAAGAAACTAATCAAATATAAAAGCATGGACATTTTAATTTTAATTGAGAATCAAGATAAAACTATAATTTCCTATTAATTTTCAAGGGCAATTCCATTCAGCATACAAAAATTCAGATTACTGTTACTGTCTGGACCAATGGCTAACATCAGAAAATTTTGCAGCAGCAATCCTAACTTGCTGGGCATGCTTCCAACCCTTCAAAAAAGCAATGCAAGATCTTCGAAGTATTTGGGTTTTCTTATGTTCTTTCTTTCTTTTGCTTTGTAAATTTGTTGTGGTTTTTTATGCTTTACATTCTTCAGATTCTAGACTCTGCTAGTTAACAATTTTTGTTAAGTAATACTGGCTAAAATCCTGTTGCCTTAAGTTACATTGCATAAGAGCAATCATTTGCAGCATAAGAACTGCAATTTTTCTGTCCTAAAGGTCATGAGGTTTCCATGAAATCCCTTTCATTGTTGGGAAGACATGTGGGATGTGAGGAGGAAATCTTTAACTACTGAAAATAATCATGACCAGAATGATTTTACCAGCCGGGGAAGTCCCCATGACTTCGCAACAATGAAAGGAATTCCTCAGGAGCTCAGGGGTTTCCGTTGGAAATCTTTAATTTCCAAAAAATTGTCACTGCTGCTGACATCACCAGCCTTAAGTAACATAAGGTACAGCAACAGGGTATCAGCCACTATGTATTATTTTAAGTCATTTTTCTTTTCTCTTACAAAAAATAATAGTAATAGAAACCCAGAGAGAATACACTAACCTCCACTGACGTGAACTTCATAGAGGGAGTATTTGGGGGATGATAACATTCGCATATCTGGCCGGAATTTCTCTGCGAGCGTCTCTATCACATCCTGAGTTGTGGCAGTGCTAGATACACGGATACACTTTGTTGCAAAATTTCCAGCTGCTTTGTCTTGAAAATAAAATCTCATAACTCCATGGAATTCCAAGTCCTGTAGTGAAATAAAATAGAATAAATAAAATTCTGTTGCAACATATTTTCTAGGGTAGTCAACGATATTTCATGTTAATTTGTATTTGTTCTTGCATAATGTACTTTTTTGGTTGTTAATTCCAGTGTTCACAATTTACAGTTCCTAATGGAAATGATATATCATTCTACAAAAGGATTCAACATATCTTGGTAATAATTTGTAAGACTGTACCTGATGCACATTTATTGCTAGTAATATACAGTTTCCACGCACAATTCAAAGTGCTGGTTTTAACCTATAAAGTCCTAAAAGCTTGGGGTGAAGCTAAGGACCACATCTCCCTTTATGAGCCTGCTCAAATGTAAAGATCATCAGGAGAGGCCTTTCTCTCAGTCCCACCACCTTCACAAATGCATCTGGTGGAAACATGGTAGAGGGTCATCTCTATTGCTGCTTCCAGACTTGGGAATTCCCTGCCACAGCAAAACCAGACTGGTCTCATCTTTGCTTTCCTTCAAAGACCTCTCTCTTCAGGCAAGCTTTCCCTTAGCGACTGGCTGCCTGAGTGTGTTTTTTTTAATGGACTGGTGTGCCTTACACTTTTGTTTATAGTTTGTTAATGTAGTATTTGATCCTACATTTGTATACTTACTACTTTCAATTTTAAATATTATATTTTTGTAACCCATCTTGAGTTCTTTTCAAGGGGATAAAATATTTTAAATAAATAAATAATAAAAAATGTATCCCATCTCAGTCCCAGTAAAAGAATGGCATAGGCTAAACTAGCCATTATCAACCTTGTTTGGCCTGTAAAACTGCAACATCCAAGTGATTAGTATATTGAGGAGTATGCCCAATAATCACAAGCAAGAGAAACTACTGATGACCAATCTTTAGCATGTACTGCATAAGAATACAGTGGCGCCTCACTTAACAAGCGCACCGTTTAATGACGAATGCGCATAGTGACGCGTTTTTTGCGATCGCTAATGCGATCGCATTGGGATGTTTAGATAGGCTAAACATTGCATTGCGATGATTGGTAAGCGTTTCGCTTACCGATCTTCGCATTGCAATGTTTAGAAAACAGCTGATCGGCAGTTCCAAAATGGCCACCGGGTGCAGAAAATGGCCACCCTCAGAATTTTCACGCCCTGCCCTCGCTTACCGGGCAGTGAAAATGGCAGCTGGATGGGGGAATCTTCGCTTACCAGTGAGTTTTTCCCCAATAGGGAAAACTGAGTTTAATGCGTTCCTATGGGTTCCCCCCCCCCGCATAGCGACGAATCCGGATAGCGACATTAATCCTGGAACAGATTAACGTCGCTGTACAGTTTTCTCAGAATTATAAAACATTTTAAATTCTGAAGGACCCCGATGATTAGTTTAATTATTTGAATGGATACAGAATGGACATCATCATTTTAAGCAGTGCTCTACGTTATCTGAATTGTCCATACCCTTCACAATCCCTTTTCTTTTTATCTGCAATGTCTTTTCAGACTGAAAAGCTCTGAGCAGGGATTCTATTCTGTTCTTTTACAGAAATGCAAGGTGTTCAGAGAAACCTCCCAACTGTAAAAGGGTAAAAATTTGCTAAATAAATGAAAAGGGGAATGACCACAGTTCAGTGATAGAGCACATACTTGCTTTGCAAAAGGTTCCACATTCAGTTCCCAGCATTTCCAAACAGGACTGGAAATGCTGCTGACAACTCAATGTGCAGAGGGGAGAAAGACAGAACATTAAGAGATTTGATTTCCATCCTACTGGGATAGTTGGGGTGGGGATAGAAAGAAAAGACAGACACTTCTGATCTCCCAGTCTGCAGGGACACAAATTAAAAATAAAAATATTAAGGAAAAGACAAGAGGAGCACAAGAGTCCAGCAGTATAGCAACATTTTTCCCTTGGTTCCCTCTTTTCCCGTTCACACACTGTGGAACAGAAGGAAAGTAAAGTAAAGAGAGCCTGTCGAAATTTAGGAAACAATCCTTTGCACTGCAGACAAAGTAACATTTGGGAGGAAAATGCACATGCTCAACTGAGTTCTCTTCGCACTCTCCACGTATCAGCAAGCACAAAGATAGCTAGACTAGTATGAATAACGAAAAGTTTATTTGCACTTGCCATATGGAGCCAAAGCCAAAATGACTGGAGAGACATACATCATGCTTTTCACCTGTTCCAGGACTTAAGATCTATGTATAATATCAACTCATATAAACATTTAATGATACATCTGGATTAGAGATGGGGATATTCGTACATTTGTAAAAAAATACAAATATTCTTGTCCCAGCTGGACCAGGACCAGACCATCCACTCACATATCCCAGCACCCTGAAAGTCCCATTCTACCCACCAATGGTGCCAGGAGATGAGTCTCCCCATACAGCTGCTGAGTGGCGGGGAGAGGAGGGTGCAGGAGCGGGGGGAAATCACAAAATGGCTGCCAGGCTCCCTTCTGGGTGTCAGCTTTTAGCTGTTTCCTGCTCTTTTTCCTGCTGTTTGGGGGCTACCAAGGCCTGGTAAGTGGCTTTCTTTTATTTATTTTTAAGTTTCTGACCATTTTTCCCCTCCAGAAGCCTCTAAGGGGAGGGAGGGGGCATTTTCTTCCTGTACGTAACTCGAGGGAAGTTCGTATGTAGAGTCCTTATTTCCCCTATAGGGCGGGTTCGTAAGTTGAATTGTTCGCAAGTAGGGTCGTTCGTAAGTCGAGACCCCACTGTATTCATGAAGGCTTTCACGGCTGGGATCTAATGGTTCTTGTGGGTCCCAAACAAACTGCACCAGAGTAGAGTGCTGTCCTCTGAAGATGCCAGCCACAGAGACTGGAGAAACATTAGGAAGAACAACCTTCAGAACACAGTCAAAAAGCCCGAAAAACCCACAACAACCATTTTATGAACCCATTATGAACAGTGCTGATCCTTATGTAAATAATAAAGACAAAGATATTGAAGAAGACGTCTCCTGTGATATTTCCCCGCGCAAAAGGAGGAGTTGCCAGAATTTGAATCAGAACCCATAAAATGTGAGACAGCAGTGCAATAAATAAACACAGTTTTAGAAGAGGTAGCCTAATTTGTGCAAGCATATCAGAAAAAATCCAAAGAAACAAAAAAAAAGAAAAAGAAAAAAGTTGTACCTTAAAGACTATTGTATTTTAATGAACACTCACATTAAAATATAATAGTCTTTAAGGTGCCACCTTTTTGTCTTGTTTTGTTTTGTTTCGTTCCTTTGGATTTTGCCTGATAAATAAATAAATGTGTAACATTTCTATGAACAGCATTCAGTTGTTTGCCATTCCACACAGATATACCACAGCACAGCAGGGACCATACAAAACATGTGAAGAAAATTCCATCCATGCTAATACTGTGAAATACATGACTCATTTTTGGATTGCTAGAGTCAGGATTATTTGTACGAATGGCAACAGACAAACTGCCCTATATGCTTAAGTGGGGGGGAAAGAGTACTTATTCTCTCCCCCCAGCCCTTTACATGCAGCTCAGTCTGAAAAGGCATGCATTCAGATTTCCTTAAGGAGTTCCAGACAAAAAGACACTGAAGATTCTGAACAGGTTCTTCCCTGGTTTGGACTAAACCTATGATATTTGAATTGGTTTTCATTTCTACAAGGCACCAGCATACTAATCTGGTCACAGGTTATAAATTCATTATTCCAAAAATGCAAAAGCAAACAACACTATCACTACCAAACAATCATAAAGAACATGAACAGCTTTTTAATATTGTATAAATTAGAGATATGATCTTGTATGGGACTGCTCTGCTTTTCTTGAACAAGAGTGTATCTAAGAAATTCAAAAACATCAAGTGTTGCACACAAGCTATTTTTGTAGGACATTCATATAAATGAACAGAAATACTTTTTTAAAAGTATTTCTGAACATGGTCATTATATTCACAAAAGATTGGTTTGTATGGGTTCCCAGGCATTTGCTGTCCTAGCCTGAGGAAAGTACAAATTTAAAATTTCAGGTTTGATTGAAACTAAGGCGATTAGTTCAAGTAGTGTGGGGGGGATATAAATAAATAAATAAACAAAAAACTTGAAAACAGAATTCTTCTTACTGATTAGTTGTATGCCTAAAACTAGCAGCATATGTTACAGCTCTTGATATATACAAAACTTTCTGCACAGTTTCTTTGCAATGGAGCAATGTTCTTCAGAGCAGTGTATTTCTTTGATATCCTATAGAATTAATTTGTTGGTTCAAATGACCCAAAAAGAATGTAAAAAAAAGTTAAAGTCATAAATAAAAAATAGCTTTATGTGTTGTCTTTTTGAAGTTTGTTTTTTAAAATAGATGAATTACTATACTCAGAATTTTAGGGGAAACATAATAATTATATTTATTTGTAATAGTTTTTATGTATCTTGACAAAAAAGATGGGGTTAAAAAGGGCAGGCTAGTGAAACAAGATATAGCCAAAACTTGCTGAATAATTTAAGATGCTGTGATATAAGGCAGGGGTCCCCAACCCCAGGTTTGCGGTCTGGTGCCGGTTTGTGGCCTTCACAGGACTGGACCATGGAGACAGATCTCCCCCTGCACACACTCCCCCTGCACCCCACTCACAAGCACGCCCTGCCCCTCCATGTATGCGCGCGAGCTTGCCCCACCCCACCACGAGTGCACCCACCTCTGTGGATGCATGCAAGCATGCCCCCTCCACAAGCATGCCCCACCCTTCCATGCATCCATGCAAGCACACCCCTGCCCCTCCACGAGCATGCCCCACCCCTCGTGAGTACGGGGGTGCCCCCCCACACAGACCCCACCCCCCAACCAGTCCATTGTTCAGAAAAGGTTGGGGACCAATGGTATAAGGCACTGCCTTTGAATCTGCTGCATGTGCAACACCTTGAAATACAAGGGGAGAACATGTAATAATATGAACACTGATTACCTAAATGAATGTCTACAAATGTCAAAAATATTTTTTAAGCATCAAGAAATACTGCTTCCGTTCCAAAG